TCTATTATTGTGTCTTGTGGTCTGTAGCATACTTTTATATCAATAAATAAACAGGTAATTTTAAAAAGCCAGTGCTGATTTCCAGCTTTCCTATTCAACAATTATAACCAGAGCTGTTAGAATATATAATCGGTGGTGGATCTTCATGACTTAAAATTTGGTGTATAAAACATTTTGGGTGCATTCTGATTTTGTTACAGAGTTTTTAGGTCTTTTAATATATCATTATACTGCCTTCTGGCATCCGTTGTATCTGATGAGAAGACAGCCATTAGTAAGAATTGTCATTCTCTTAGGTCAGCGGTCTGCAAATTGTGGTCTATGGGCCATATCTGGCACTCTACTTACTTTTGTGCTGTGTGCTAAGAATAGTTTCTCCATTTTTGAATACTTAGTGAAAAATCAGCTAAATTCTATAATTTTTAGGTACTGTACCTTACTGCTAATATTTTACATTGTCAATATTCAGTTTGACTTAGTGTAATCCTTCTCTATTCCTGTTCTTCTTCCTGAATTTCTATTTTCTTCTCTAATAAATTCTTGAAGATGTTTTCATTTTGTGTTGCTTTGTTTGATGTAGGTCTCCTGTGTGGTTTGTTGTTTCTCATATAGGTAACGTATTAAATCTACAGTAGAAAACCTGTACTTATTTGGGGGCTTGCTTTTTTCTACCATAATTAGCATATTCAGGATGATACAGATTGTCCTTTTATATGGTATGTGCTCTTTATATTTGTCAGTGAGAGCAGAGGTCAAGGATCAAGAAAACATGTCTTCTAAGGCTTGGCAGGTAATGTAAATGTGTGAAGTAGAGTAAGAGTAGCTTGGTGTTATAGTTAGAATGCCTTCTCCTTTTTCAGCAGCAGCCACTACCTGCTGCTCACCTAGTTAGCAACATGGTTTTGAGATCTTCAGCCTTCATATGAGATGGAAAATTATATCAATTTCTATGAAATTTTCTGAAATTCACATATTGATATTCACACATTGAAAAAACAAAATAATCCAATAGTATATCTGCCTTCAGTTTATAGGCAGTGGTAGCCAATTTGCTACCAATGGACGAGATACCTCTGGTAGCTAGAGAAGAAAATTACTCCATAAAATTAAACCCAAGGACTGATTATAGGAATTCCTGAATTATTTTGAGACCACTATGTACGTCAGGCTGACCTCCAACTCACTGTGTAGCCCAGGCTGGCTCAGCCTCCTAAGTGCTGGGATTATGGTCATACAGGCATGTGTTACCATGCCCTGCATGGAGCTCTTGTGGATGTATGAAAATGTGAGTACTGTGGGATTTCTTCCTGAGTACTAGAGCAGTTCGCCATGTGGTCATAGGGCTTTGTGCCACATTTGGCAGCCATGCGGAATCTAGAGCTCTATACTTTTTGAATCCCACCCTGTTTAATATTGCTAGTATGCCTCTTAGAAGTCCTACTTTGAAGAACTATGCTTTTGATTATAATCTTAGGACCAAATATGAAGGACAGTAGCTTTTTCTTTTTTTCTATTCTTTTCTTTTCTTTCTTCCTTTTTTGGGGACAGGGATGGGGTGTGAGACCAGTGATTGAATCCAGATACTTTGCACCAAACTATGTTCACAGCCTTTTTTCATTTTTTATTTTGAGGCAGGATCTTGCTAAGTTGCCTAGTCTTGGAGCAAATTTTCATCCCTCCTGTCTCAGCCTCTCACAGTGCTGGAGTTAAACGCATGCACCACCACTCCTGATTCATCATATTTCTTGATGCACAAAACAATTTATAGGATGGCTCTGATCTTGATAAGATTTTTCTGAGAACTTTAATACTCCACTAGAATACTTGTTTTTCTTCAGTACAACCAAGCAGAGTTCAAGTGCCACATTTGGAATAATTTGTGGATAGACTTCAGTTCCATTTAAAACTATTATTTCAGAGCAGTTTTAGATTTACAAGAAAATTGAGAAGAAGGTACAGAGAGTTTAGTATCCCTCTACCTCCACATGTGTAATCCTTTCCTGTCAACATTCCACACCACAGTGGTACATTCGTTACAATGGATTCACCCATAGTGACACATCATTATCACTCAAAGTCCATAGTTTATGGACTTTGGGTTCCCTTTTTGTGTTCTGCATTCTGTAGGTTTTGACAAATATATAATGCCAAGTGCCCCCACCTTCAGTATCATACAGAGTAGTGTCACTGCCAGTGTCCTCTGTGTTCTGCTTAATCACATCTTCCTCCTCCCCAACCGCTCATAACTAGTGTTTATTTTATCATCTCTATGTTGTTTTTGTGCAGTGTCACATATTTGAATTCGTACAGCATGTAGCCATTCCACACTGGCTTCTTATACTTAGGAATATGCATTCAAAGTTCCTTCATGGCTTGATAGACATTTCCTTTTAGAAGTAATGTGTATGTACCACAGTTTATCTATTCCTCTACTTAAGGACACTGTGGTTGTTTCCAGGTTTTGGCAAGTATAAAAGCTGTAAACATCTGTGTGCAGGTTTTTGTGTAAACATATTTCCAACTTTTAGGTCTTTTGGGTAAATATCAAGGAGCACGATGGCTGGATCATATGTTAAGAGTAAGTTTAGTTTTATAAGAAACTGCCAAACTGTCTTCCAATTTGGCTGTACCATTTTATATTCCCACAAGCACTGAGTAAGAGTTTCTGTTGCTCCACATCCTTGTTAGTATTTGGCATTTTTCAGATATTTGTCAGTAGTCTGGATTCTAGCCATTCTAATAGATGTGTGTCCCTCATTTTGAATTTTCACTTTCTGATGACATCTGAAGTACTGTGTTTCCATATAGTTATTTGGCATCTTACATTGATTTTGGTGTGGTGCCTTTGAAAATCTTACTCATTTTTTAATCAGATTGTTTTCTAATTGTAGGGCCTTAGTAGTTCTTTGTAAAACTTAGTAAAAACTCCTTTATCATTTAAATCTTTTGTAGGTATTTTCTCTCAGTCTGCGACTTATCTTTTCATTCTTTAGATAGTATCTTTGCAGAGCAGAAAATTTTAAGGACATATTTCGTCATGTGCTTTTGGTGTCACATCTAAGAAGACATGGCCAATCTGAAGGTCATCTAGATATTTCTCTAATATTGCTATTGAGTTTTGTAGATTGAGTTTTAATTTAATTCTGTGATCCATCTTGAGTTAATGTTGTGAAGCATCTTTTATTGGTTCTGGTACATTGTCAGCCATTGGCTCTAAAGTATTCTCTGCCTCATTCTCTGTATAGAACAAGTTTAATCTAACTGTGTCCAACTTTCTTATAAGATCCCCTGTGTCTCTTTATTATACTTTTTGTCTCTGTCCTACATTCTTGGGTAGCTTCTTTTGTCCTATACTATAGTTTGAATGTTTGTCTACTCAAAACTCATGGTGAAATTTTATTGACATTTTAACAGTATTGAGTTGGGATTCTAGTGAAGCACAGTGCAGCACATGCTTATAACCCCAACTACTCAGGAGACTGAGGTGGGAGGATTGCAAGCTTGAGGCCAGATGGACAATTTAGTGAGACCCTGTTTTAAAGTAACAAGGAACTGGGCGTGATGTTGCACACTTGTAATTCTAGCACTCAGCAGGCTGAAGCAGGAGGGTTGTGAGTTTGAGAGTAGCCTGGGCTCCCTGGGCCAGCCTGGATTACATAGTAAGATCCTGTGTTAAACAAAAAAGAAAAGGAAGAAAAACAGAGGAGAAGGAGACACTTCAGTGATAGAGTGCACCTGGGTTCAATGCTTACTTAGTACTGGAAAGAAGAGAAGAGAGCAGGTGATAGGAGGGTTCAGCCTTCAGAACTTTGAGCAATAATTTCTTGCTCTATAAATTATCCATTCTTAGATATTCTGTTGCAGCAGCACAAAATGAACCAAGTCTATTTTGTGTTCAGGAATTCTCTCTTCAGCTCTGTCTATTGTTCTGTTGAGTTCATTGTCTGCTGAGTTCATAAATGTATTTTTTTCTCTAGAATTTCATTTTGGTCTCTTTTAAATTTGCTGGTTTTTGTTTTTTGTTTTGCAGTGTTACAATCTCAGCCTGTAAATCTATACTCTTATAGTTTCTAGTTTTAGGAGTCAGGCATTTCTTCTATATCTTAGAACATAATAAGTATATTCATTTTAAGTAATTCCAGAATTTGGAATATCTGTTCCATTGTGGTTGCTTGTTGTGTTTGCTGTTAGTTTCTTGCTCATAGTGTCTTTTTTCCTTTACTATACAGCTATTTTTGATTAGGTACTGGTTACCATATTTGAAAAAAATATATAAATATGAGGTCAATTTTAAGCCTAGATCATGGCATTTTCAGAAGTAATTTTAGGTTTTTGTACTAGGTGTCTGCTAGTCTGGGACCACTGTACTGCAAATTTAAGGGAGGTTTTTCTGGATTACCTAGATACCATGAAACTGGGCTCAGCTGTGAGTATTAGTTGTTAGAGTTGAGCTGAGTAGCCAGTAAACTATTTTATTTTATTTTTTTTTCAGCTTTAATTGAGTTTATTGGTACATTTTAGGGATACAGTACAGTTACATTCATTGTTGGGATCTTGTACCTCTACATGACAAGTCTTGGTTCTCATTTTTTCCCCTTTTCCCTGCCCTCCCTTCACCCCCTCCTCCCCTCCCCATCTACAAACATTTTATTTCCATCTTTTCATTATCTCACATTTTTTTTCTTTTCCCTTTTTACCCTTCCCCTACCCATCCCACCTTCCCTACACCTTTAGCTCCTTTCTTCCCATTTCTAAATGCCAATAAACTATTCTATGACAAAAGCAACTTTAAGTGTTGTTCTTAATTAACCCTTTTGCATTCTTACCTTATTAGATTTCTATCTGATTACCTTTTCATCCCTTTAAGGTTTTACATTCATTAATAATTTAGAAGTTTTCATTACAGAGTTCATCTTATTTATGTGGCCTGCCATTATTAGATGCATAAATCTTTCCCTTTAATTTGAATTGTAATATATCTTGACGTCTGCTTTTTGTAGGTTCTACATGAAACATTTCCTCAACACACATTCCTCATGAATGGTCTCATTCAAGGTGTAAAGGTAAGAACAATTTTTTTGTGATTCATAATGAATCAAATTGAGGAATCTTTGGTAGTTTAACTGGAGATTTAAGTGGGTCTTAGTGAGACAATTACTATTTGTTTTAGAGATTTAACTGTAAATTTTTATTTGGATTACCAAGATCAAAATAACACAATACCTAAGGCATAGAATAGTTTACTGTTAAAAGCAGTATGAATATTTTACAGGCCTCACTGCATTTTCATTAATGTGTACACCATAGTTATGAAAACTTTAAACTGCTCTACCTATCAAAAGAATACAGAGGACAGATGGTACTGTCTTCTTAGATAGACTTTGAGACTGAGGAAGAAGGAAGCATCAGAATTTAGTTGGGTATTTATTTAGTCTTTTGGTCAAGCTAATGCTCAACTCATAACTTTCTGAGTTCTCCACCACTCAGTTTAAGTAGCCTTAGCTCATTATTTCAATTTTAATATATTTTGGAAAAATTTATAAGTAAAGGGTTAAAATGTAACAATATATTCCAGTTTCACTTTAAAGTATATAGGTATAGGGTCTTTAAACGTAGATATTTAGATGCTATCAGTATTTGCGTAATTAATATTTTGTGCTGAGCAACACACTTAAATTATGCCCTCGTAATTTGCTGTACTTCCAGAGACAGGAGGCTGAGGCAAGGGGATTGCAAGTTCAAGGCCAGCATGGGCAATTTAGCGAGACCCTGTCTCAAAATAAAATTAAAAAACAAGGTCTGAAAATATAGCTCAGTACTCTTTGAGTTCAGTCCCCAGCACAGTACTAAAAAAGAAAAAGGAAAGGTAAAGGGGTATTTTTAAAAATTTCATCTGTAATAGTAAACATGGAAACAATTATAGTTAAAAGAAATGCATTGTGGTACTGTTACGGAAGGAACCGGTAAGTGACATGCACAGAGAAATGCAGAATGGAAGTAAAATAATAAAAGGTTTATTTTGTTGACAAAAGGCTGATTGCACTCAGAGCAGTGCCAGTGATTGACCCCCCACTGGGTTACAGCTCCTTCTTTTATAGGGTTTTACAGCCATGATCTCATTCAGGTGGTTACATTTCATTCTCTCAGTTTACATTACTGATGTACATATCATGGTCACAAGACAGTTAACTTTCAACCCAGATGTAGCAATTCTTTGTAGCTAGGGGAGTTTGCCTTAAGATTCACCTCACTATCCTAGCCCATAGAAAGTGGGTGTTCAGGGTCAGGAAAGCAAATGTTAGTGGTTCTTTTCATCTTGACACTTTTACAAGTGTCTGGATTACAGAACTTTGGAGCTCAGAGTCTTGGTATGCCCTGTTATGTCAGGATGAGACCAGATGCCTCATTCAGTGGTTAATGCCTCCAGTGTCTGTTAATTCTGAACTCAACAAAGCAAACTGCTGTTAGAGACAGCAGAAGCCCATTCTGCATTGTAGGTTTTGTTATTTACAAGAGTTTTCTCTATCATTACAGACAAAGGATGTCATACAAGTGTTTAAAGAACACATTTTTGAAGAAACAAGCAGGATATAAATATATAGTTCTATTTTATTTAGATGTATACATACATATACACATATGCGCAGGAGAAAATAATTAAAAAGGAATCACCTGAAGCTTTTTTTCTTTGAGCGCTTTGAATATATTAGTCTTCTGGCCTCCCCAATTCCTGATAAGAATTGTGCCTGTCATCATATTGATGATCCTTACTCTGTGTTGATTCTCTACTCTTGTTGCTTCTAAGATTCTATTACAATTATCTTTCTATATTTTGATTATAATGTGTATCAGGATAATGAGTTTATCTTATTTTAGATGTTGGATGTTCATATTTATATCTTTCATCAAAATTTGTGATTCTGCAGGCATTACTTCTTTGAATATTCTCTCTGCCCCTTTCTCCTCTCTGTCATGGACTCTCGCTGTGCATATTTTAGTTGGCATCATGGTGTCCCTTGGTCCCTTATGCTCTGTTTAGTCTTTTCCTTTCTGTTCTTGAGCCCCAATGATTTCTATTATACAGGTTCAAATTCACTGGTTCTTCTGCCTCTCAAATCTGCCCTTAATTCTTCTAGTGAGGTTTTTAGAATTTTAGTTATTAACTTTTCAGTTCCAGGGTTTCTCTTTGATTTCTGTTTAGGTTTTCTAATTTTTGATATTTGCATTAGTTCATACATCATTTTCTTCATTTTTCCTACATCTTGTAGTTCTTTGAGCATCTTTAAAATAGTAAAGTCTTTGTTTAACAGGAGGAGAATAAGGGAGAGGAGGAGATAGGGGGAGAGTAAGGCAAGGTGATGTGTAGAATATAGGATCAAATATGTATATATGAAAATGCCACATTGAATCCCAATACTTAGTGAAATTAGTATGAAAATAAAAATGTGTGTAAAAATTTAAAAATTAAGTCCTTATTTAGTATATTTGCTTTCTGGCCCTTTTTCAGGGACAATTTGTTATTTTAAATGTACCATAGTTTTCTGTATGCATTGTAATTTTTTGTTGAAAATTAGATATTTCGATCTAATAATATGATGAATCCTAAAATCATATCCTCCCTCTTCCTCCATATTTTCTATTTTTATTATTATGTTTGTCTTTGTTACAGCCTTACTCTGGCTATAGTTGATCAAGGGATCAACTTGAGGTATAAGTTTAAGGAACATTCTTAGCTTATACCTTCACTTGGGCATGCAGTCACTTTATAATTACCCCTACATGACTGTTAATTCTGATATGTCAGCTTTATTGGATTAAGAAATGCCTAGGGCAACGTCAGTAAAGGACACTCCTGGGTGTGTCTTGGTAGGGCAGGAGGTGTTATCTTGGGTACTATGTGTGGTCCCTCGCCTGTTACTCTCTCCCACTTCTCCCTTGCTCTGCTTCCTAGCTGCCATGAACAAAGTGACTTTGCTTTACTTTCCTCTTCTACCTAGATGTTCCTGCCTTGGAACCTGCCATCCATGTACTGAATCCCTTGAAACTGAGCTGAATCCCTTCTTTAAATTATTAGGTATCGTGTCCAGCAGCAGGAAAGCTGCAGTTGCTGTTGTGTGTTCTAATCTTAAATGCCTGCCTCCCAAAAGAAGAGAATGAAAAAAGTAAAAGGGGGAGGAATGAGCATTACCCCTTTAAGTCCCCTAGAAATTACTTCAGCCACAGTGGGAAAAAGAACAGCAGTGGCTTCTTTGCACCTCTGTAAGCAGAGGTAGCAACCAGTGGTCTGAGCTCAGATCCCTAATACTTGGGGAAGTGTGCTGACCTCTTCAGGGTGTGTGGAAGTTATTCTAGGGACACCGCTCAGCTGCCACCATGGGGCTGGGGGTAGCAAATGGGTAGCTGCTACTAAGCGCTGAAATTGTACTTTAATTTTAGCGTGTGTGTGTGTGTGTGTGTGTGTGTGTGTGTGTGTGTGTGTGTGTGTGTGTGTGTG